CATTTTTGAAAGTTATATCGAAAAATTAAATTTCAATATGCGTCTTACATCTCACATTTCGCATACAGCTCACATATAGCCTATTTATCTCTTATACTTTATTTCAACCCTTATAGAAATTTATTACTAGTAACGCCAATTTATCACTTATTTCGAGTAATTAATCACTTTTATTTCGAATACTTAAATTACTGTATATTATAGTATTTTAAATACTCGAAATAAGTGATTAATTGGCGTAGTGATAAATTTCTACAAGAGAATAAGGAGCCTTTAAATTCTTAATGTAAAAATTTCAAGTAATTTTCTTTAATAAAATTTAATTAAAAAATTTAATTAAAAAATTTTTGAACACTGTGTTATATCACATTTAAAATCGTGATTATTTCAATAAAAAAACATTTTATGTGTAAAAAATATATTTTTTATATTTAATAAATTTTATATATATATATGCATATATGTAAAATATTCTCTCTCACTCTCTCTCTCTCTCTCTCTCTCTCACACACACACACACACACAACGGGGGCCAAATCTCTCAAATTGGTCTCATGATCAATTAGCCTGGATTCGCACCAGGGGCAAAGTCTGTTGGTAATGTCAAACGAATTTAGCCTGGACTTGCACCAGGGGCAAAGTCTTTTGGTCGAGTCTACGAAATTTAGCACGGACTCGAACCAGGGGCAAAGTCTTTTGGTTCAAGTCTACGAATTTAGCACGGACTCGAACCAGGGGCAAAGTGTGTCGGTAAGGGGCAAAGTCTATCGCACGAAGATGGCGGTCTCTTCTTTAGGCAGGCCTTTGGCGATCTGTCTATTAATCTGTGTCTGTGCACATAGCACGGAATCGAACCACGTACCGTGCACATAGCCTGTTACCACTCGGGAGCATCGTGCACATGGCTACGTAGTTCAATGTGCACGTTTTGTGCACATAGAGGCGCTTTGAATTCCGGTTGCAGCTAAATCGAGGGGATGACCACTCTCATCCTTCTCTCTGTATACACTCAACTTTTAACAAAGGAAGAGCTTTGGAGAGAGAACGAGTTCGCTAATACCATCCTTAAATTAATATTTTAATCAACCAATATTTTAAACGGTAATAATGTTACAAATATATACTTTACGATTTTATTTATATTTTATTGAAATTATTCGTGTTTTCTTTTATAGATTTTTTACCACACAAGTATTAGAGCGATATATTTTTGACAAAATGGATGCAATAATGAATTTATTAAATGCCAAAGTGGTTTTAGCAAACAAGCATTGTGAACTCACAGATAGATATAAGAAACTTAAGACTGATCAGGAACGTGTAATATTTACTTTCAATGTTATGTTGGAATATGATTTAGTTCCTGGTACAACTGGTATGCCAAAAAATGCCAAAGAATCTGAGAAATTGCGGGAGCAAGGCAATAAAGTTTTTATCAAGGGGGCTCTCAATAATATGACATGCATTGAGGCCCTGAAATTATATACAATGAGTGTAGCGTTTGCTCCTTATCCTTCTGAGCAACTTGCTCTTGCCTATGCTAACAGGTCAGCAGTATTATTTCAATTAGGTTTACATTCAGAATGTATTCAAGATATTGACAGAGCACTGGTCCTAAATTATCCCGACAATCTAAGAGCTAAGCTTTATGTACGTAAAACAGAATGTTTAATGATTTTGGGAAGTTGTTCTGTGGAAGACATTTTGAAGGAAGCGCAGCATTGGTTGGATAAAATGTCTTTGAATGATACAATAAAAAAAATTACGATCAAAGCTTGATACTTTACATTGTAAGGTTGCACAAACAGAACAACCTGTTAAAGATAATTTAATACGTGCAGAAGTGAGGAAATCAGGAAATGAACCTCCTCTCCCTACTATTGCATCCTATAATAATGAAGTTCCATGTGCATCCGATGCAGTAGCTATAAAATACAATGCATGCTATGGCAGACATGTTATCGCTACTCGTAATATTCGGCCTGGTGAAGTAATTGCTGTGGAGAAACCTTATACATTGTTATTAATAAAACAGAACGTGCATACACACTGTTCAAATTGTTTGAAAGTGTGCTGGGCGAATATACCTTGCAACTATTGCACTTATGCTATGTATTGTTCAGAGGAATGCAGATATGCTGAATGGAAAAATGTCACGATGTGGAGTGTGCTGTTTTCCCTGCTTTGATCGAACATGACTGTTACAATCTTGATTTGCTTAGCATAAGGCTGGCTGTGCTTGCTGTAAGAGAAGCTGGCAGTATGAAAGAATTAAGAACCATGCTGAAAAAGCTGGAAGAATGTGATGGTATGCACAAAATTTTTGTAATATGTAAAACAATTGATACGTAAAACAATGTTTACAATACTATTATTACCATTTTTAATTATCGACTGGTGACTTCTTAGTTCTTTATATATAATACTATTATTGTTTTAGATCCACGGACAAAGGGGTTTTCTCAAGACGGAAAATTACATAGTGATAAATACATTAGTATATACAGTCTTGTGACGAATAGCGAAAAACGACCTGGTCTTGATCTATTCAGGAGATCTTTGGATACTTGCTTTATTTTGTACTTCTTAGCGACACGTACTGTGATGTTTGGTGCTAAATTACCCGAAGATTTAAGCGTTTTGTCGAAAAACGATGACGTTACGTTTTTCGGAAGTCTCATTTTAAGACATCAACAGATAATTCCCAGCAATGTTCACAGTGTATGTATTTACTAAGTATTTTAATAATATACATCGATTCTGTGTGTGCTTTTATCTACTATTTATCTACTTTCTACTATTTATCTACTTTCATGTCTTTCACAGGTGTGTCTTTACGGTCTTTTATCATTTGCTTGTTTGTTTCAATTTTCTTTATTTTTTTCTTTGTCAATTTGTCAATTAAATGTGATGTTTGCAGTTCAGCGAAGAGCAAGGCTTAGAATGTGTAGAACGTGGTATAGCCGCAATGCCATTTGGTAGCTTAATTAATCACAGTTGTAATCCAAATATTATAAGGCACTCAAGATCTAAGCACATGTTGGTATACGCCATGTATCCCATTCGAAAGGGCGAGCAGGTATTAAATTGGCTTGTTGAAAATATTGTTTACAATATATGTTGATATTTGTGTCATTATAGCTCTTTGATAATTATGGCCAACATTATGCTATCATGCCGAGAGCAATAAGACAACAGAAGCTACTGAAACAGTATTATTTCACTTGTAATTGTATTCCTTGCCAGGAGAATTGGCCTTTATATCACGAATTAAAGTCATTTAAGGTAAATAATAACGAATTTGATTAATAAATCAAACTGAACTATAATAATATGATATTTCTTGTTGGTCTTCTATAGACTTTAGTGAAGAAAGCAGAGGACAAGGTTAAGATAAAAAAAGCGTTGCGTAAATTTAATACATATGTTGATATAGCGACAGAAGGCAACGTGCAAGATAAACCTTACATTATCGAAGACTTGTTGAAAATGCTACAAATATTATATGATTACGTGCCGATGCCTTGCCACGAAATGAGTAATGTCGTCGAGACGTTAAAACGAGTATACGATTTGAATGGGAATAGATTTATAATACCACAAATATGGACGAATCAAAAGTAGATTTTATTTATATTTTTGATTGATAAAATAATGTTATTGTTACTGTTTAATATATGATTAATGCGTAAAATGCACAGTTTACAGACTTCCTCTAAAGAGAAAGAGAGATTAATATTTTTTTAAAATGCTGATAGATTTTAAGAGGAAGAAATTAATACTTTTTTTTTTATAAATGACAGTTTCTTTAATGGAAAAGTGTTTTAAAGAGATTTATATTTTATGACTGATAAAATAATGTTATTGTTACTATTTGATACGATTAATGCGTAAAAAGCACACTTTACAAAGACTTCCTCTAAAGAGAAAGAGAGAGATTAACATTTTTTAAAATGTATGATAGGTAGATTTTAAGAAAAAGAGATTAATACTTTTTTTTTTATTTTTTGAAATGACAGTTTCTTTAATGAAAAATTGTTTTAAAGAGATTTATTATTAACATTTATAGAGAGATATATATAACAATATTAAATATAAGTATATTTATATACTATTATACATACACTATGTTATATTTATCAAATCTAAGATTTTAACAAATGCATATTTTTAAAATTATGAGTGACACTGTATTAAGTTTGTACTTTTTTTTTTCGCTGTTTAATATATAATTCTTATCTAAGAAATAAGATTTTAACAAATGTATATTTTTAAAATTATGAGTGACACTGTATTAAGTTTGTACTTTTCATTTTTTTTCGCTGTTTAATATATAATTCTTATCTAAGAAATAAGAAAATTATGCTTTTATTTTGTTAATAAATAAATCGCAAATAATATCGAAGTAAGGAGAGAAAAGTGGAAAGATTGTGAAAGATAATATAGCTTATTAAAAATTAAAGATATGATCGGTTTAATTATAAATTGATATTTTTGATATATTAAACTGATAGCCAGAATTGGGCAGATACTTCGAAACAAAATATTTAAATACAAAATACAAGATACTGTTTGACATATATTTTAATATTATTGAAATACTTTGGTTTTGAAATATATTTAAATAAAAATAAATAAATTTATAAATACTTTTAAATATAATTTTATTTCTGATTATATAGTTAATATTAAAGTAATTACAAAAAGATTATCTACTATTATTTAAAAAATGAAATAGTAATAGTAGATGATTTTATTGTAATTATACTTTAATATTAAGTATAATATAGTCTGATGGTAGAATTATATATGAAAATAATATCAAAAGTAAGTTAATTTTAACACTTTGAAAGATAAGTTTATTTATTTGAACTTTAAACTTTATCAAACAATAATAATTAAAATAAACATATAATAGCATGTATTATATTATATTTGTATAAAACATATATATATATATATATATGATGTAATTACATAAATATATTTAAATACAAGATGCATTTAAATTAAACAATTAATTACAAAATTCGAAATACTTGATTATTCGGTATTTAAATACTATATTTAAATATATATCTCAGATACTTTAAGATATATATCTGCCCAACTCTGTTGATAGCATTTTCCTTATACTATCAATAACAAAGTAATTATTGGTAAAAGAATTGCCATCCCAATCGGTCGATACGTCGTCCCGAGATTATTATCACCTTTGTTCATATCATCGCAAAAAGAATTGCTATTTACGTACGAAATTCTCCACTCTACGCCCGGATATATCGGACTGTGTTTTTCGATATATCGCTCCAATACATCCGCTAGAGTGATACCTGTTCAAATAAAATTCAATTGTGATAAATGTTCGATAAAGATAAGATGGCAAAGATATGTAAGATGATTAAATTACAAAATACTATGCAACGAATGTTATGCAATATACATATTATAAACATACTTAGCGGAGTTCTTTCAATACTCTCCAACATATGAAAACCATCTCCACCCTTTGCAATGAAATCATTTATGAGGATATTGTAGGTAAGATTTGGTTGGAGTTTGCTGTACGTCGGTACTCGACAAGTAGCACATTGCACTTGAACGGAAACTACCCTCGAGTTCGGTGGTCGATTTATGTCATAAGCTACCTGTAAACAATGCATGTTAATCTTTGACAAGTTTGAACACGAGTTAGGGTTTCGACATTTAAATAATTGTGAAGCGAAAGTTATAAAACCAATAATATTAATCAAATTTAACACAATTTTTTTAGATATATAGGATTTATTTTAGAAATAAATTACCTGCAATCCCGAATATTGTAGAAACGCGCCGTTTAGGTTGCCGGTAGAAGTTAAGTTATCTAAATTATGGACGCTCCATTCCAACATCGAAAGGATCAGCTCTCCGGTCACAGAAAGCTTCACGATGATATTCCCGAAGGGTAAGACACTTATAATGTCTTTCCGGGTGATCTGTAAATGTCGCGATGACGCTAGATACATTTGCAAAAATTAAAATTAATTAAGAATGCATAATTATAATACATCATCGTTTCTTGCTCTGGTGATGGATGCTCTGATGCTGCCGCCGTTGTGGATCGCGATGGCGGCATCCGTCCATCCGTCCTTATTCAAGTATTCCCCGGCATACTGCGAGCAAAGAAAACACAGATCCATATTATTCTCCTCTCTCTAAGAATAGTCTCACAATATCAGCGACAAGCGTTGCGTCGATTAAACTAATAAACAAATCTTACGTAATCAAGCATAGCGTCGCAGATTAAGTTGCCCATGTTGCATTCTTGTCGTCTGCAGCTCTGGAAGTCCCCGTCGAGGAGCACTCGCGTTTTTCCAATTATTTTGTGTTCCATTTCGTCAATGGGTTTTCTCTTATCACTTATCAATTTTAGAATATCCTTCGCCTGCGAGAATAATCAAATATCATATATATTTTAAAGTATACCATATATAATGATATTAATTATTATAATTTATATTAATGTAATTTTCATATTTTTTGCATGTACATGTAATTTACAGGTGTTTTATTGTGTAGTATATGTATTTTATATATAATATTAATGTACATAGTAAATGTACATAGTAAAATTAATCGAACATATTTTGTATGTTCTTTATTATTGTAGATATTAATATTTTTATTGTGGTAAATATTTAATCAGAAAAATTTTTATAAAATTTGTCCAATATCCTATTGTCCTATGGATTATCATAATTTTCAGGATAAACTTTCTAAAGGAAAATTCTCTCTGTGTAGTAATTAAATTATTTATATACACTATTATAAAGACGTAATAATTTTTGTAACATCAATTATTTTTCTCTTACAATTTTTGCGATTTTTCTTATATTTTTCTCAAATGTTTACCTGCTCCACCTTGGCGTCCACAAGAATCGGGTTTCCCTCGATGTGCGTTACTTCTCCTCTGGCGTCAAAACTCACGGAAAATTACCCAAGTATTTGGTGTATGCGTATGCCTGAACAACATAGGTCTTTCTACCGCTCTTCTGAATGATCTCTGTAGGATAGAAACCCTCCGGCACCTCGGAGTCCGGAGGTTTGCCGCGATACAAAAAGGTATTGGTGTGACCGCCGATCACCAGATCGATATCCTCGACCTCCCGCGCGATCCTTTTGTCGGTCTCGTAGCCCGAATGGCCCAGAGCGATGAGAATGTCGACACCCTGCTCTTTTAACATCTTAGCTTCGCGTCGAATGGACTCCACCTCATCCTTGAACTCCACATTCTCTGTACTCGACAGAACCGTCGTCTCCGGCGTCAAGTAGCCAATCACTCCGATTTTGTGACCGTTTACTTCAAGGATCGTGCTGTTTTTCAGATTGGTAGCTGCCAAATCCGGTTGCTTGCTGAGATCCAGATTTGCTGTCAGAATGGGATACGAAGCGTTTTGTATGAAGGGTATCAGACCTTTCACGCCGTCGTCGAATTCATGGTTGCCCAAGGACTGTCACAAACAATTCATATTTACGATAAAACCCGAATTTTATTGATATTTCCTCACTTTTCCAGCATCTTATTTGCACAACAAATCAGTTGTTTGCGCAAACAAGATGTGTCGCATTAAAAGGAATTCTGGTAGATTCAACCTGTAATTCTGTTTCGTCCATTTGCGAACAGAAGTTTTGTTAATGCAACAAGATTTTTTTTCCAGTAGCTGGATACAAAGAATGAATGGTGCAGATTTTGCTGATTGATAAATAAATTAACAAATATTTTTTTTTGCTTTCAGATATCGTGTATCTTCCCAGACAACACCATGTCTAAAATTAGCGCATAAGACATCTTTGAGATGTCTTTAAGACGTCTTTTGGATATCATATCAAGATTTCTTGAAGATGTCTTAAAGACTACTTAAAGATGTCTTATACGCCAATTTTAGACATAGTGTTGTCTGGGTTCGAACCGAGTAAAAGCTACTCACTATAGCATCCGGCTGTAAGAGATTCATGAACCAAGACACCGCCTTCCACTTGTACACGTTGTACCAGGCGGTTCCTTGATAAGTGTCGCCGGCATTCAGGAAGATCGTCGACGGCGATTCCGACTTCGCTTGGCGAACCAGGGTCGCGATCCTGGCAAAACCTCCGTAACATTTCCCGGCATCGGAGTCCTGCGGTGTACACGCCGTCGATAATTGCGACGTCTCCTCGAATCTAAGAATGTTTCAGCAAAGTCTTCATTTGAAGTGTGTACGATTTAATATATATTTTTATCATTTTCGAAAGAACGAAGAAATTTTCTTGTCAAATAACGAATTCGCGTGAAAAAACACGCGCGATATTTAATTAGAGTCTAGGAGCGGGATGTAATTAACTGCTTTAACATTTGTAATTAGCGTAGTGGCGGTAATTGTTGGCGGTATAGCGTGACGTAAAATTACACAAAATTGTAATGTATGCATGTGTGAGATATGAAAGAGTAATATTATATGAGTTTTCTTAAAAGTCCACTAATTAACTCCGCTCCAATATCACATGCTCTAATATTAAAATTAAAAAATTATAACATAAAATCGATCAGTTTGATTTCTCAAAGACTCACACGTATACTTATAATATTTATGATATTTATTTAAATATCTTATAATATTTGTTTAAATAATATTATTATAGGATTAAAATGTTTTTGTAACATAATCAGGTTTGTATTTATCGTTTTTTAATAAGAGAAAATTTCAGACAGGCACCATGTTTTTAAAATTGAAAAAAAAGAGATCTTGAAGAATCTTTAATAATCTTATGATATCTGAAAAACATGTTAAAGGCGTCTTAAAGATGTTTTATGTCTCTATTTCAAACATGTTTCAATTTTGTGCTAACTAGAATATTTCAAAAATTTTTCTAAAAACAAGAGTTACCTCGCATGCATATCATTCGTGTGAACAATTCTGATGGTGAATTCTTCATCCTTTCGTGAAGTGGGATTTGCAAAAGTTTCGCTTGCGAATATCAACAGCGCAATAACGCAACAATTTATGTGCAAAGCAATCGACATCTTTGATTATCACTAATTCGTGTCTTACTTTGATTGCGCTTCTTTATGATCTTTTCTTTGTCTTGTGTCTCGCTTATCTCTGTATTTATAATACTGATAAGACACGTTCTTGATACATGTGCACTTATTCTGTCATTTTGGCTTTTCTCATATTAGTAAAATTATTGTACTGCATTTTTCGATTATAAAACGCTTTTCTGAAAGAATATATTGTTTTATTTACGATAATGAAAATTTTTTATTTTATTTTATAATGAAATTTTGTAATAAAGTTTTTTATTTCGTAATAAAAATTTAGGTATTTTCTAATAAAAATTTTTATTTAATTTTTTTAAAATATCTGATAATTGTGAAAACATAGAATGAAAAAATATGCAATATTTAAGCGAAATATATGTATTTTTATTTGCATTTTTCGTATTACTGAATATAAGGATTTACATCCATCTGGTTATTACAATTTATTTTAAAACTTTCAACTTGCCAAGAATTTTAATGGCTCATAAAATCGGCGTTCCAAAGACGCGTCATCGTATTTTTCGAACAAATATGAATTTAATTTGAAAATTAATGCTGCATAGCTGTCTAATTTATGGAGAGAGATAATGACAATAATAATTTTTGTCTTTGTCATTTAACATTACAAAATAGTTTTCTTTATGAGAAAAAAAGAAATTTTTTATCTTAAGTATTCTAGCAATGTAAAAGTTTTTAAAATTTTTTCTCTTTTTTTAAAAGAAAAATATGGTCTGTTTTTATTTGAAACACCCATATATTAACGAGATATTTAATATATTTTATATATAATAATATACAATATATGTGTACAATACTTTCATAAAATATATTATTACACAATACCTTTAATTTGTAACGATCGACGGCGATTGATGACAGATTGAGTAACACCTCGTATCAGAAAATGAACAATAACAAGTGACCACACAAATTACTACACGCCAAGCAACATTCCGCATTTATATGCAAACCACGTACGATGCAAGGAGACTTTCGCGAGAGCGAAAGTAAAATCGCGTTTTCCAAGCCGAACTCCGAGAGCTGGATCGTCGCGTCTTCATTAATTTTTCTAGACGATGCTAATTTTTGTTTATTTCGTTCAAAAAAAAGTAAAAAGAGGCACTTAAAAATCAGAACGCTGTCAACTGTCACTTGAATTACGAAGGTATAATCACGTGCAAGAGTATGCGAGATACTGGCTCACTCTTCCGCGTTATCGAGGCCGCGACGGTGACTTTGAGGGAGCTCCGAGAGAGGCGAAACGATTTTGATGAACGACCGGCACCAACTACTGACTATGACCGACGTCGTTGCGTGCGGACCCCACCGGACCTTTTTCAGTGATCTCTGCTGGAGTTCTTGCCTGAGTTTCGCAGCATCCATTCTTCGTCGAGAATGTGCAGCTCTTTCAGAGAAGATAATGGGTCGCAAATTCGTTTTTTGAAGAAAAAACTTATTTCTTATTTTAATGTAATGGTTTTATTTTAAAAAATGCACAAAAGGTCTTCATCGGTCTTTTATCGCGCGTATCTTTACGACATAAGTATTTTTGTTACGCTTTAACTTGGAAGGTAATATATCGTTTTTAATATGTATCTTACGCCGAAAAGTCACAAGTCAAGCATAAGGAAGATAACATAAGGAAGATAACATGATTATAAGTGTACTTAATCGACAATTCTCGTTTCTTAAACATTAAACATTTATTTATAATTGCGCCATTTGAGCAAGAGTGATTTAATAAAGATGACTACATTTATTTGTAATTTTAATTAAATGTAAGGAAAATATTTTCAATTAAATATTGCAGATATCAGAGAAGAATTAACTTAAATATACATATTTTGTGCAAAATACATATCTTTGACGTTTTAAAAATTAACTGTTATCATCTTTATTTTATCAGTTTTGTTTAATTGTCCAGTGAATTATCAGTTTAATTATTAATTTCGAAAAATGAAGTAATTTTTATTTTTTGAATAACAAAGCTTACGTAAATAATGCTTTTTATTGAGATACTAATCTGTCAAACAGGAAGAAAGAGATTTTTATTCTTATCTACATTTATATGTTTTATATATGACATATAAAGATAGTTATAATTATATTTTTATTTTTCAAATATTGCTTTAACTAATATTTTTCACCAACTACTACTTTTTCTAATATTAATACTATACTATTTTAACTTTTATTCAGATAATTTATATAATACAGATCAACAATCATCAAATCTGCTGTTCTAATATTCACTCTACTCACATAAATAATACTAATTGAGCAAGAGTGATTTAATAAAGATGACTACATTTATTTGTAATTTTAATTAAATCTAAGGAAAATATTTTCAATTAAATATTACAGATATGAGAGAAGAAATAACTTAAATATACACATTTTGTGCAAAATACATATCTTTGACGTTTTAAAAATTAACTGTTATCATCTTTATTTTATCAGTTTTGTTTAATTGTCCAGTGAATTATCAGTTTAATTATTAATTTCGAAAAATAAAGTAATTTTTATTTTTTGAATAACAATAAAGCTTACGTAAATAATGCTTTTTATTGAGATACTAATCTGTCAAACAGGAAGAAAGAGATTTTTATTCTTATCTACATTTATATGTTTATATATGACATATAAAGATAGTTATATTTATATTTTTATTTCTCAAATATTGCTTTAACTAATATTTTTCACTAACTACTATTTTTTTCTAATATTAATACTATACTATTTTAACTTTTATTCAGACAATTTATATAATACAGGTCAACAATCATCAAATCTGCTGTTCTAATATTCACTTTACTCATGTAAATAATAATCTAATTTTATAAAAAAAGATTATAAATATTCCATGAGACATCATTATTCTATTTAGACTTAATACTTGTTTTTGGATTTAAATCGTCACTTTGTTAACAAAAATAATTATTTATGAACCTAACGATCCATTCATTGCGGCCGAATGAGATTTTAATATCTTTCACAATATCTTGGTTGTGTAATCGAGATATAATCGCTTCTTGAGAGCGCGTTAATAATACCAAAACGCATCTCGTCACGGTGAAAATATGATATAAAAGACAAATAAAGAACTCTTTATTTTTCTGTCAGAGAGCCAGAATGCCAGGCAAGTTGTTTGGCAATTTCCTTGGCATTCTATCCTTCTACCAGTTATTCGTCTTTCCTTTCCGTCCAATGTTACGTGTTCTGTTCGTAAGAAATAAATGGCCGCGCATCATAAATTGACGTGACACAAAGCAATTTATTTACTGGCAGAGACCTTACGCTGTTTACGATCGCATTTGTGTAATACAGAGAACGATTCTAATTCTGTATAATTCCGAACGTATTGTTCAAAACGCAAATACAGACGCGATATCTTTACAAGTAGTAAGTATCTGTGATATTTTATCATCGACATCTGGAAATAACTCAATGGCGTGTACTAATTAATTTGACGTAAGAATGTTGTTCGTGTGAATTTTTTTTTCCTGAAACGCAACTATTGCGAGAACTGTCGTCCCGTTATCAGCAATATACGAGTTTTCCGGTCACCCATAAATTTGTTTAGATAATTAGATAAACTATAGTGGCAATGCGTTCAGACCGGTTAGTTGAGCGAAATAATTTTTGTATTTTTTTAAACTATATGCGTTTTTATGCAAAGCAGTGAGGATAAAATCTGTCTCATAAAGAAATAATTCTCTAGCTTTAAATTTTTTACATCTTTTAATTTCTATTTATTCGTTACAAATTACGCGCGATTAATATTATTATTAATCTATTATTATTATTATTAATATTATTATTAATTATTATTAATATTATTATATTTTTTGGAGAAAATTTATTATTTATCGACATTAAAGAAAATTTAATTAATGCATTTTATTTAAAATTAGCATGATAGATGTTCTTGGAACATCTATCATGCTAATTTTACATATCAGAATTTTTTATTTTTATTTTAATTTAGATTTTGATTTTTATAACAAAATAAAATTATATTATTATTGTTTAAGAACAATATGTAAGTATTTAAAAAAATTGGCAGCTGCAGTATAATTTTTAAGACTATTTATGTCATATCTGTTATGACAGTTGTGAAAAAATGCTATGATAAATGCATACATATGTATCAAATAAAATGACATGTTCTACATATGAAGAGATGTATGTTATTTCAGTATTACATGTCATGATAATTGTGTAAGAATCTGAGAGAGCGAGGTACCGAAAATAAATTTTTTACCGTTACAGTAGATAAAATTCAATCCAGCGAAAAATAACCCGAATTTTCAATGAAAGGTAGGGATTGCGAAGCGCCAATAAGAAAGCGACAGGTAATAAACCGTGACTTATCAAAAATTTAGAGTAGGAAAATGAGACTGCGAGGCAGAGAGTTACGGAGTCTTGTAGAGAGAAGTGGAAGAAGCAAAAGAGAGTGAATAAGCACCCCAGACACACCAAATCCAAATCGACGCATAAGATATCTTTAAAATATGTTTAAGATGTCTTTCGGATATCATATCATAAGATTTCTTAAAGCTGTCTTAAAGATTTCTTAATGATATTTTATGCGCCAATTTTGGGCTTGGTGCTGTCTGGGCACGGATACGAGAAATTCCGATTACTATTTTTGTGATTTTTCTTTACTAATTGTTTCTAACTTTTTTTTATACGTTTCAATTATAATAAACTTTATTTGTTATTTCTTAAAAAAAAAGAAGAAGAGAGTTTCTATCCTACCAGCTTACAATTGTGAGCACATGTTGTGATAAATGCACGTATCAAAGAGTAACACACATCTAAAAATTAATATCGCATACTTGAATAGATCTGACAATAAGCGATAGCATTTTTCAATTGAAACGTAAACAGCATAAATCTATATATTGTAAATACATCATTTACTTTTATCAAATATTTATGTGCGATATTAGCTAATTGAATATACAGGGTGTCCGGTAACTAACGGACCAATGATTAAGGGCGGATTCTCTGGCCAATTTGGAGAACGATTTTTCCTTCGCAAAATGTTGAGAAGTAAATAATTTTCGAGTTATAAGCGATTGAAAAAAATGGTTTTTTGAAAATTAACGTTTTGGAGTTAAAAGTCTAACATAATTACATTCTTCAGTTATTTCAGGTAGAGTTTACTATAATGAAATTTTAATTTGAGGCTTAGTTATAAAGATACATAATGACAAATATTGGAAAGTTGTAAAAAATGATGATCTTTTTCGACATTTTCTCTGAGGAAAAATCGTTCCCAAATTGACCAAAGAATCCATTTGTAATCGTTGGTCCGTTAGTTACCGGACACCCTGTAATTTTTAATGTAATAATATATATTTTAACGCAAATAATATTTTATTTCAAATTTTCGAGATTCGGACTAAAATACTTTGTCGATAAATTAATGTAGTTTACCAAATACTTTGTAATCATTCGTGAGTAGGGGATCTGATAATCGACGTTCCTTCACGGAAGAACAAAAACCAACGCGGTTGTCGAAGAAACACAGTTGTCCACGATATTTGACACGTGAGTTACCAGCTTACTAAGAGAATAAAAAGGTAAGAGCCGCAGTAACCATTCTTAACGACATTCAATGTAAACACGTTATATAACTTAATGACATTCGAAAGAAGCACGTTCGTCAAACGAAGTGTATTGTAATTTATTCTGTTATCTGTCACTTTGTAACTTCCAGAACTGCATTGTATTTTTACTTATTTTGAAGGCGCGTTATTTTCGCTTTTTTAAAGATATAATAATTTAGTTTGTATTAAATAACGTTGCAATATATGAACAACTATTATCACGTCATGTTATGATGTTTATACGTTCCATTAATTTTGTTCTTATTTTTTGTATACTTGGCCGCGATTTCCGCGCAGCGTGATTATTTTATCGTTTTAGTTTTTTGCTAGAGAACTCATAAACTTGGTTCACTTATTTATTTGCTTTATAATTAGTAGGAGTGGAATAGCTGATTGTGCATGCGTAGTCGGATTTAAGCGTATTTTTTATGTCGCAGTAATTATCAAGCGAGTGTACAAATGAGTGAGCTTCTCAGTTGATTCATGATTAGATATAAGGAAGAGGCTTGCGAAACTGTGCAGTAGATATATTATTAAATATCTAACGATCTCTAATCTAAAAAAATATATAGCGAAATATCGATATAATAAAAGAGTTAAGTACAGATTATATACATAAAAATATTTATTGCAATTCAAAAATAAATTTATTGTACAAGTTATTAGTTATATATAGCGCATAGTAATAAAATTTTATAACTCTGTACAAAATAAGAGACTTAACTAACTTTGGTTTTTATTTGTAATTACTTACACATAAATAATACATTATAAGTCAATTTCTTCAAAGATTTAGTTTGCCACTTTATTTCTGACACATGTAATTTATTTATTATTAATAGATAAATAAAAAGGCCAACTAAGTTGCAATTATTGAGAAGATAAATAATATTTGGCCTTTTTATTTATCACTAATTGTATATACAATATACGAGCGAAGTTTTGTAGTAATTAATTTTTTATTTATTATTATTTGTTATTTAAAAATCTAATATATCACTGTAGCATTATCTCGTTTATGATGCATGATTATCATCGTCTTTTGATTCTTGCGTGTTACGCATAATTCTCATATTATTTATTTTCTCAATAATTGCAAATGTACAAAAAATGCGTGTATTTAAAAAAGTGTAATTATTACCTTCGTGTCGAGACATAAAAAATTAAATGAGTATTCGTGAAATGTCACAGCTCGCAGGAAGCTTCAATAAATGCAGATGCATGTACGTACTTTAAGATGCATTTTGAAAAGATACAACATGGTCTCTTCTCGAGCTTCAAATTTAAATAAAAGAAGGTATGAACGATTATGGTACAGTTCGATGCCTCGTTTCAATCTCATCTCTGTCCGATCATATATTCGCGGTAAACCCGTAATTACTTGCAAATATACCGACTTAATGATATCTTCTCCAACAGGTGCAGCATGTACGCGTTGCTGTTTCTCGTTGTTTCAAGTCTCTTACGGATTCACCGGGCGTGGACTTTTTTATCCCGGTAGAACAGACCTCTTCGAGCTGTCAATAATTCATTTGAATGATGATTTTCACGCCAGGTGAGAACCAGGTTCCCTATTTAATTTTTTTATCTAATAGTCGATTTGCTAATAAAAACGCATAAATCTCGTAATTCACAATCCAACAACAATTCTTTTATATAAATTTACAATCGAGTGTTTGCTAATTTTATGAAGTGTAAGTTGAGAAACGATTATTTCGTTTGTTGTGAAATTTGAACGTTATGATGTAAAAAATCTATTATAACTTTAGAAGCGAAACATATTTTTGTCAAGGATAAGGCAATTATAATAATCTGCCGTTGGCCTCGGTCTCCTTCCTTTTGATCGTTTTGCTATTTGTCGGGGCGTCAAAGCGTGACTCGTTGAGAGAACATGAAATTATGTCGAAGTAGATTCGAACAAAACGGGCCCGACTTCTGGGACTTGCCGCGAGGGTCACGAACAGGACTGCGTGGGAGGTATTGCTAGAGTTTACACAGCAGTCGATCAACTCGTTAAAGAACGGCCGAATGCGATTTTTCTGAATGCCGGTGATCATTTTCAGGGCACTGTGGTACAACATTCATCGTTGGAACGTCACAGCTTTGTTCATGAACATGTTGCCGCACGACGTCATGGTACATAATTACATCCGCCTGCATTTTTACTCTAACTAATATTTCATTATATATTTTTCCTTATACATTTGTTTAGAATTCAAATTCATTTAAAATAAAATATAAGAAAAATCAGCCATTTAAAGTCAACTCTACAGTTGATTGCTATTAAAAGAAGGAGAAAAATATATTTTTTAATTATAATTAAATCGGACAATTAGTTTTAAAAATGTTTTTTTAACATTTTATAGACGATCGGCAATCATGAATTCGACAATAAAATTGAAGGCCTTGTTCCCTTCCTTGAAAATGTTAAAGGCGCCGTTTGTGGTAACAATATCGATGATAGCGAAAGCCAACTATCCAGGTTTGTAATCTCGATTTATTCCTTCGCAGAGGCATTGATTAATATACTTATTATTTTTTTTGAATTTATTACCAAAACAGTACAATCATTGAAAGAAATGGTACCAAGATTGGGGTCATCGGCGTTATCTTATCGACTACTATGTGAGTAATCGATATAAATATTTTTCTCTGTAAAAGCGATCATATAAGTACACATGTATTTAATTTAATAGAGATAATTTTTGTATATTATTTTAAAATACAGGACAGCGGATTTTTTATAGTATTCGATTCTTCCAGCTGCTCGCGAATACGGAGAAACTAAAATTCTTAGACGAGGTGGAGACGGTCAATGATGAAGCTCAGCGATTGAAAAAAATGGCCGTGGGACATTTATTATATTATTAAGAGCCACTGCGGATTAAGAGTAGACAGAATCATGGCGCGAAATGTCCTTGATCGCGTGTTGGTTGGTGTCATTCGTCATACTTTCCGTAGTATAATGGCAGGTATGGCCCGTCAAAACAAACCCCCACCACCGACCCGTCTGGCGCCGGGTCTTATCTTATCTTTCCCCCACCACCGGCGTCTGGCTTTTCCGAGTGTGGGTGTTAGGGGGAAAGGGTGTTGGGGGAAAAAAAAATGGCGACTGGCCCCGAAAGGTGGGGATGAGAATTTTTATTTTTTATTTTTTCTGATTTTCTCTGGATTTGAACCCGGGACCTCCGTGTTTCCGAGCAGGGTCCTAGTATGTTGAGCTAAACGAGATCTTACTAGTCTAAGGATTAGATGTGGTATTTAAGCTAAAGTTGCGTAGAGTACGGCATGGGGGTTCGGTATACGTATGGCAAGGATAGCTCGTCGAATCAAATGGTCGATATTGGACGGGGGTGGGGTAAAAACAGTTCGGGTATACGTATGGCAAGGATAGCTCGTCGAATCAAATGGTCGATATTAGACGGGGTGGGGTAAAAAACATTTTGGCCAAGAAAAGCGTCGTGCGGTCGACCGGTGGCAGGTAGTAGCTGACAATGGCGTAGGGTAATAAAAAAGAACACGCAAATATTTGTACAGGCGAGCATTCCGACTCGCGTCACGATAAAAAATAATAATACATCGTCGTAGATTAGAAAGATGTCAGATAAAATTTTATTTTAAAATAACTCGCTGCTTAATGAAGGTAAACAGGAACATGCATGTGGAGGAAATTTCTGGAAAGAGGAAGTGAAAGAAAATTGAACAATAGTTTTAAAAGTACAAATATGGATTATATTTAAAATATTTTTACAGAACAAAATTTATTTATTCATACTAAAATTCATATTATATATTGTTATAATTCGCTTATTTTTTGTGAGTAAAAATTTTACGAAATAAGTGTATGATTAAACGATCGTTATATTCACAATCTTCGGAAAAAAAGAGCGAGAAACTGATTAAGATTATAACCGCTGCACATATAATATAAAAATACACAGCAGTATTGTCCGCAAGTCTTAGAAAAAATTCCTTGTAATTGTTGAATATTCCAACGATGGATGATGGAGTTTCGTCGAAGTCGGATGAGAAATCCTGGATACAAGGGGGCAATCCGTAGCTGTCGAAATAAGTGGCTGTACCGTGTTCATCGAGGTAGAAGGCGATCCAATGTTCTCCAGGTCGATCGTGATTGTCGGTGTTAGCGACGATAGCCGTCGACCTCGTCCACACCCTCGGAACTCTGTCGGCTGCATAGACTCCAACATGTCTGGCATCGAGATGATGCAATGCTTGTAGAATTTCGCGAGAGTTCATTTTTTTTTTGTCCCGAATACGAACGAGTGTACGGTATTATTTGAACAATACCGGTTTTTACCTCTTTCGATAATGCGTCTTCTTCTATCTTGAGTTGTTTTGAGAGGTTTTCAATGTCAGTTTGCGTCGAGATGGAAATTGTTTCGTTCTTGTCCGTCAACGTCGATGACGATTCAGAAATCACAAATCTCTCTTCTTCTTCTTTTTCAATCTGCTGTTCGTTGCTTTGCTGATTTTTTTCCTCTATTTGTATTTTAGTTATATTCTCATTTACATCGCAAGAAACGGCGGTTTCGTATTTATCGTCGCTATCGTCGAAAGTAATTTCCCAACTTTCGTCAGAACTACAAGTAGCTTCAGTAGAGGTCGAAACGTTCTCGCAATTATTTTGCGCACTTAGCCAGCATTTTAATTTATAAGCATTGTATAACGCGCAATGAAAGGTTCCAAATTTTCGAATCCCGTGATGACCGCAATATTGTACGATATCCTCCTCATCCGGTAGATTTTTAAATGCTGGTGAGGTACCCTCCAAATTATTTATATCTCTGGAAAGTAAATTCCTCAAGTAGTTTGCTTTTTCGTTACCTCTGA